TTTCACACACCGCATTTGTCAAAAATGTATCCCATTTCATTGACAGTGGCCAGGATTTTCGATACTAGCTAAACAGCTAGGATCGAAAATTTAGGTCGCTGTCTGGGAGAAGAATTTTAGCACTGGCTGCTCTGGCTTTTCTAGTTTTTCCGCCGTGTTTCTCTGATCAATACCAGACGAAAACACCGGCGCAGTCCCCGTTATAACTAAACTGGCCCACGGACCGCGGGAACGATATTTCCTCATCTTCCGTCTTCTACCCGCACCCCTAATTTACATACACTTGCACTGACTGCACTCACTACCACATATTCCGGAAAGAGCGCCGGCGGAGTTTTAGAGCGTTGGTCACGGCTGGCGTGGCACCCCGGTGGTGTTGCATTACCTGGTTGTTGAAAAACCTTTGTTAGATAACCTGTAGGTCGTCGCCGGATCTCGCCATCCGAGGGAAGATAACCGTCATCTGCCGACGGGAAAAATGCAGACCACACAGCACTAACATCGTAGCCAGTTGGACGCGCCCGAATTCATTATCAATCAAGAATCAATTCCACCCACTTCGTCGCGGCCGGCATCGCCAGCAGCAGCGGCAAGTGGCCGATCTGACGACCCTACTACTGAGAGCATTCGGGACTTGCGGCAGGCTCTCGGAAGAAGGCTTTCGTCGCGATACAATGTATATTAATTACCGTTGCGGGAAAAGTCATATTGTAGCTCATAATACTTTCAAACACAACGGAGGAGCTTTCATACAAGGTGGAGAATTAATCTCCTGTTGATCGTCCACGGCCGGGCATTGCATCAAAACCGGTCTCCTGCATTTCGTCACGATTCTACATATGTCAGGAATGACTGGTTGCCAGTCTGTTCTCTCACCACTCTGATTTCCCTAACTTTCGATCTTTTTGAAGTGACTAGAGCTACGAAAGATTGGTTAACTTACCGCTTGTAACTACATCGCGTATTATTAGCGCGCGAGCGATAAATTATTACATTTGTTGGTGATTATTGCCCCACAAATTTCTAACATTTTCATATAGGTACTAGCGCGTACTTTCTCACATTATTAGTAAAGCGTCGTGAATATGTTCAATAATAATTTAAACCTTCAAACGCGTTTTCAATCCTCAACATTTTCCCCACAATAGATTTGAATGTCCAAATGTTTAAGTTTAGCACGTCCACTGAATCAAATTGCTCAAGCCGATTTACAAATATCCCCATTGTTTTCCCTTTCGAATTTCCCGGTTCAAAAAATTCTCCAAAAATAACGTGTCTTTGTTGGGCGGTGTTCTTAGATGGAAGGTACGATATTTTGATTGTCCCAATGATGTCGTTGAAATGTTTTAATATGGATAAGAAATTGCGATTTTATCATTGTATCACCCGTTTGTGAAGAGAGAAAGTACGTGATGTTGTTATACTAATAGTTCCCTTCTACAAAAAACGCGCGATATTCGCGCTGAAACCAAACTCATAGGCATTTCTAGTCATATAAGTTGTCTTTAGAAAAATGTTATAAAAGGCCGACCTTTTGTTAAAAACCAGAAAATTCAGAAAATTAAATTCTCCCAGTGACACCTCTGTAAATGTCTGTTGCAATTCATACTGGGGCCACGTAAAGCACCAAATCCTAAGGTAGTGCATGCTTTTCCTTTGGAAGTGGGAGTGATCGTTCCTCTGCTGAATCAAAAAAGGAAATTTTTCATTCAGCACCGCCGATACGTCACCTTTGAGGAGCTTTCTACAAACAGGTACCTCCCAAAAGGGGCGCTTCGCCCCAGTATGGACATGGCGTAGATTCCGACTTGGCTCCCAGCACGTGTGGATGGTTGTAGTAACATGGGGTATGTGAAGGGTGAGATAGGATTAAGGACAGGAAGAAAATATTACCGCGGTCCGTGCCTATTTGTTCGGGTTACTGCTCCGACATTCGCCTGGTTTTGCTGATCGGAGAAACTACGCGAAAAAAACTAACGATCAGAGCAGCCGGCCGCTAGAATTCTCCTCCAGACGTCTGAATTAGAACCTGCGGCATCTATATATAGTGCCGAAAATTCTGCCACCCGCTACCGAATAGACGAGAAGCAAAATGAACCTCAATTGTTTCAAGTTACAAAACGACCACCTTTACGTGCCAAATTATGAAAAATATTAATGTTCAAGCACTGCTTATCTCTCATTCTGTATACAAGAAAAACACATTAAAAGAATTGATTGGATGCAAAGCAAACTCCAATCAGGACGAATAGTTCCGAGATAGACGAGGAAAAAGAATGAACATCAATTGTCAAGTTACATTCCCCCGTACGTCGTTTAAAAATTATCGAAAAAAGAATAATTCAGCACTATATCTCTCATGTCTGAATACGAGTAAAACACATTAAAGAAATTGATTTCGTACAAAGCAATTTCCAATTCAGACTATAATTCCGAGTAAGACAAGAAACAAAAATGAACCTCAATTGGTCAATTACAAAAACACCCCCTTCCTTATTTGCCCAAATTTCGAAAATTATTTAATTCAGCACTTGCATATCTCTAATTTTGTTTTACAAGTAAAACGAGTAAAAGAAATGATATGGTTGCCAAAAAACTCCCAATCAACGAATAGGCTCCGACAAGACCGAGAACGAACCTTCAATTTTAGTTACCAAAACGACCTTTACGCATTGTCATGGCTTGTATCTTTGCGACATACCGCTGGTTCCTGCAACTAAAGCCTCTTTCCATATACTTGCACGTTTTTTTCAGCGACTACAGTTCCATATTATTTTCCTCGGTGAGATATTCCCCCGCTCGTTGGTAGTTTTTTGAGCTCAGATTAAAACCCGGGGAACACAGGTGGCATCATTCAGTTGGCTTCTCTCCGGGCGAGGCAGCTGAAGCCAGTTCTTTCCTTATATCCATGTCTCGTGTAATCTATGCTTTATTTCAATGAATTCAAGATGATTGAAAAAAGAATGAGTACATGGTGAGATTAAATCCCGGATGTAAGAAGTTAGAAATAAGACTGTTAAAGAAGATTTTAATCATTTATAGCGATTATTCAATACTGACCTATTTGTGTGCCCGAAGAATATCTGTAAAAAAATCGTTTTATTAATTTAAAACTATTTCTTCTATAGAAAAATTCATAGCGAATATTACCTCCACTGTGGAGAAGCCTTGCATATGTTTATAAAAAGTAGACTTAAAAATCAATTTCGAATACGTACCAAGCGCGATCTGCACAATTCTACTACAATTCGTTTACAGCGTAGTCCACTCCCTGGAACGACCAGTAGAATTAGTATTACATGTACATCCAGCAGAGCGCTTCTATATCTATCGTTGTTGTTCTTATAACGCATCATAGATTTTTGACATCACTATCATAGCATGAATACATTCATGATACTACTTAGTCAGTCCCTCTTTTCCCAAATGTCTGCACTCGCTATCTTCACCCGAATTTGGGTAGCGGTTACATTACCATCGTTTTGGCAGTGTAATTTTAGAAGATTAGAAAATATAAAGCAATATTTATATGACTTTTTGCTCTTGTCAATTTTACTAAAAATGTCTATTCGAGTCACCTAAATCACATGAATAAATATCCAGAAGAAAGTAGAAAAAACGCTGTATTTTAGTCAAATAAATACAGTGTTTTGCAAACACTCGCTAGTTACCAGGATGGTCTCCTCACATCCTATTTTAGGAAATTAGAATGTGATTTAGTATATTCTTCAAGACAAGTTGACTATAAATAAGTAGTTATATTTTGTTTTAATTTAATTATCAAGTTACAATGCACTCATTATCATTATAAATACGAATTGCTCTTGACGGTCTCGTTCGAAAAAATATTTGCCAACAAAACACAGATATATGTAATGTAAATATAAAAGTAACTTGTTCTTGCCCGCTCTCAATTGTAATGTTATTATGGTGTTGGTTACGCTGATACCTTCGTATAAATCAATGTACAAATGTTGTCTAGATATCGAAAGACTTAACACACTTATGTAATATCTTTTATCGAGCAGCATAACATTCTCCAGAGCTAAAATGTACATTATAAATAATTAATAATAATAATAATAATAATAATAATAATAATAATAATAATAATAATAATATTTTCGTCACTGGAACTGGAACGCACACACCTTGAAGCACCTCGCTGGAAAACAACATTCTGCTGTTTCTCAGAAATGCCAGAATGTCGTTTGTCGAAACCAAAAAATTCCTGAACTCTAGTCACCCCGCAACAAATTAGCCCAATACATATACCTCTAAAATCCCACCCACCATACCCCCACAGCAACTCTAATCCGATTTCCATTTTCATCCGTCTCACTCCCGACTTTTACACAAATCTCTCTTTGCCCTTGTGTCGCGCCGGCCTCGCCCCCCCCCTTTCCGACCGTCGCCGTGTCCTCACTTGAAACTACTACTTCTGATGACGAGAAAGTCCACAATTGTGATTTTTGTCCAGGCCCTGCCTGGACGTTCTGTATGATCCAGTTTGCTTAAGCATTTGTCGTATTTCCTAACGATAACAGTTTTGGTAAATTAATTATTTTTTATATTTTTTCTGCTGTCGTGATTATTGCTAAGTCATTGGAAAGATCTTATGGAAATAAAATTGAAGATATCTAGACAACACTTTTGTACATAACAAATTGTAATGTTACTTAGGTAAATATCATGCCTACTTTATGTTTATGTAAATATTATAAAAGTAGTTTTCATTCTTGTAGCTTAAAATTTGAAGTAGTGTTAGATGACTAGGTTTGAATATTTCTTACTTTCATCTAAAAGCATTGATGAAAAATACAAAGATGAAATTTAATTATTCGGTTCATAAAAAATAAGATTTTTATCGATGTATGTTGTTCCTAACGTTCAAACAAAGCTTCACATTCACAAAAGCTAACGAATGATGTTATAGAAAGTTTCAGAAATCTTTTCGCTAACAACAACTAATGAAAGTATACGTAATATTTTATTTTCAGGTAACTCCTACAGGTTTAAGGGATTTGTTGAATTGGATTACAAAATCGTACAAGATTCCGAAGACTTTGATAACTGAAAATGGATATTCAGATAAAGTAGGCTATCTTAATGACACCGACAGGTTTGAATATCTCAAGGTAAAGTGTTTCATTGCTCATTACGTATGCAGACACTAACGCTCAATTTAGTATGTGGTGTCATTGTATTGACTCAACACCAATCTGAAATCTTATGCAACTTCTGACCATGCGCACCTAATGATTGTCGTATGTGCTTCAGCTGTATCTCGCAGAAATCCGTAAGGCTAAGTACACCGATGGTGTAAACGTCATCGGCTACACAGCTTGGTGGTTGATGGACAACTTCGAGTGGCTTAATAGCTACACGTAAGTTCCAATTATTTGAACAGGCTGATATACAACATGGCATAGATTTGAAGCCAGTTTCCTTTATTCCTAAAATGATCATGGAAGATGTCACTGTCGATACATGTTGAATTGAGCTGGGAAGTTCTGCAATTGCATGTTTTGTTAATAGTCATATTTTCATGAAACTTCAAATGTGTATGTTTCAGTGCAAAATATTAAAAATAAGGTAAAAAACATTTTTTATTTACCGCATATTTGGCATATTCAAAGCTTTTTAGAATATAAATGAAAAATTTTGGATAATTTTTGACTTTTTGCCCAAAATACCACGAGTATATAAATTTCCGCCTAAACATATTTATCAACTTTCTTGTTGCTTCAAGTACGTTAGTACAATGCGTTTTGGACTATTAACGGCCAACGCCGCCGAAGTAATACCTGCTGTCATCAATTTATAAAGATTATAAAGAATTCAAGGACAACCTTAGACGATGTACTTGCAACTATTTAGAAGGCAAGGGATAAGTTCGGGGTAACTCAAGTGAAATGGGGATAGAAAGTAGGAAGAAAACAAATAAAGTTTTCGGAATGAATCTAGGGCTTTATATTTTACCGTAAATTCTTGGAAGGAAATAGTGTTTAATTCCAGAAAATGTATTGAGCACAAACAGTATCTCCCGTAACATCATATGATGTCGAAATATAATTTTCTATGTACAAAACTATACTGTCGTAGGAGACAGAACCTAACAATAGTCTTAATAAATTTCGTGAGGCTTTTGTGCTCTTAATGAAAAACTAAATGTGCAGAGGTAGATAGTAATCTATTTTTAATTTGCATATACCCTGTCTCTAGGTGGCAAAAATTTGTAATGTCATTGTAAAAAACATTTTTGTGACAAAATTCTGCATATATTTACAATTTGTGCGCATAATTCAACATGTTTTGGCATATTTGCATGCATATTTTAGGGCTAAAACGTTACTTAAACCTCCCAGCTCCAATTACGAGATATTCTAACATTATTCAGCATGTATATACTCTGGTACTAGAGCTTTCTGACACTAGCGCTTTGTGACACTAGAGCATCCAAGTCTAAAGACTATGAGCTGCAGAGACCTATGGTAAGCAGTCCACAATTCCTTACATCATGTATTGGCCAATATATACCTGAAAGAAATGTTCACATAGTCACACAACTGTATGTATTGGGACATAACGGTAAAACCACAACTTAATGTTTGCTCCAGTGCGAGGACGCAACCTGAAACCTAGATCATGAGCAACTGACGAAGGGGTTAACATTATTCAGCACATTAATTTTTATCTATTAATATACGTTTTAAAAGAAATATTTAGAGGGAAATCATTGGAAATCTTTGAGAGATGTTGAGAGATCAATGAAATACGTAAGACTCTGAATCCATATTTTATAACGTTCCACAATATAAATTCTTCATTCTTATTTCACTTATTTATATACTTATTTATATTTATTTAATTTTTTATATCAGAGAGAAGTTTGGGCTGTATCATGTGGACTTCGCCAGTTCTCAACGAACTTGCACGCCTAAGGAATCAGCTGCGTACTTCGGAAATGTCGCGAAAACTCATAGGATTTCTAGGGCCGTTTCCAACTATAATGCATCTTTTACTTTGTGTTTCTGCTTTTTTCTCTGCGCTGTTATTCGCCACATGATTTGACGATGTATGTTTACGAAAACATTTAATACAGCATCATTAAGAAACATAACTTGGCGTGTTTCTTGTGAGCGTTATCTGGATAATAGAATTCATGCTTATCATATCATGCTCTTGTGATTGTTTATAATTTTCCGCTTTTTTGTTCGATATTGTTTTAAAATAAGAAAATTGAATTTTCAAACAAAAAACCATGAAATAAAAATTCAACAAGTCGCTGGAATTGGCAGATGAGATCGTTCGTTGCCAGGGCTCGGTAATTAGCGTTTCCCCTCGAAAAGATCGTTGATTTCCGCCAGAAAATTATAATTATTTTTCTTTACTAGTGATATAGTAAGGGTATAATGTTAAATAGTGTTCGCAATTTTGTAGATTTATATTTTAAAAAGACTGAATTTGGACATTTCTTCAGTTTCAAAACCGTGAAAGTCAAATGCATTAACCGTGAAATGGACCCAATACACAAATTCATTACACACAAATCCAGGCAAAGTACCTTATTTTCAAAACCTGTTATATCCACAAATGAAATTGTAAGCCTTGCATTCACTATCTATATAACAACTATTAGTCACGATTTTGGTTTTAATTCTACAATCCGTTTCAGGATGTTTTGTAGGGCTTTCTGAATTGAGAGTATTGGTATTATTAAGCCGTATGCCAACGTTCGGATGATTTATTTCCATCATCAGCTCTTGCACCAAAAAAATCTGAACTGGAGTTACATGTGAGTTACTGGTGCTTTGGTAGCAAGCCCAGAAGATGGAAACAATTCCGAAACGTAGGTGAATGTTTAAATAGTACTAATACGTTACTTTGACCAAGCTCTGATGAATGAAAGCAATGAAGAAGCCTTCACTTATTGTGGTGTACGTATTGCTCATGACACAAACTAATTACTAATAGAAACTTTACCTTACAGACGAAATTCCATCACAGAAAGGCAATTGGTTTAGTAGCTTGTTCTACAGAACCCAAACTACGTAATGCGAGACTGTGAATGGCCAAGATGTAGATTGGCTTGTTCAACATTTCTGCGGACAACAGGGCACTGGCCATCCAGTGATCAAGAAGTCTGAATATCGTGCTCAGCATTTCATAGAACTAATTTGCTTGTTCAGCAGTCCATTGAAGTCATGACATAAAGAAGGTTTTCTTCTGCGAACTACGGCCTGTACACCAGGTGCGAGACAGCCATTGCGTTAATGTATGACTCCACATTTTTTGCTAATGTGGAATTTTGCTTTTATAGTCCAGTAACATCCCACGCCGTATTCTGGTCTTCTCAACCTGAGAAGTGAATTTTCTCATCATCACACAGCAACAGATACTAGGACATTGCAAGGAAAACGCATACTATAATCTTTCCCGACCTGAAATCGAACCTGCGGTCACGTCATGGAAAATGAGCTCGTTTATCAATGAGCTAAACCGCTAGGGTCCAACTAAGATACTGTTTCTACTTTTTGACGCCGATACTTTACATCAAAATATATTCTCAATATGTAAATTTTGTCTGGTTCTAATCTAAATATATCCAAATTTTTCAAAATTCAATATGAGCAGTTTGTTCCCCGATTAATTGATTAGCAATTCCGCGTGTGTTAACGGCTTAAGTCATTACTCCTGTAAGTGTGGTGTATGTGCTTTTCCTCGGGAGGTGGCGGTGATCTTCCACAGCTAGCGAAGTTTTCCCCAACCAGGTATCTCTCACCAGCAGGGCACCGAAGCAGCCGGGACCAGCTCTAAGCTCCCGACCGGCCTCCTGGCATGTGTTCTAGTGTACGTTCGGGTAAGTGTGTGAATGAAAGGGGTGAGGATACCCCAAGAAAGAGGATGGAAATATCCCGCGCGGTCAGTGGCCCGTTTGTTAGGTACTGCTTCTGTATTTGACTGATCGGAGAAACCACGGAAAACTACCGATCAGAGAAGCTGGACGCAAGAACTCTCCTCCTCCAGACAGCAAATGAATTCGAACTAGTGTTGTAATGTGGTATTGAATTCGAGCTAAATGTGTCGAAACTCATGCCTCCTTCGGGACTCGAACCTAGAACCTCCGGTCAGAGGCACTGTAGTGACATCGGTTGATGCCCTGAGCCACTTCTTCCGGTGCTTTGTTCTCCGATATTCCCACGCGTTCGTTCGTGGGCAGGTTTCTTAGGCCATGGACTTCCCGTCAACCTTTGAATGTAACCTTACCATCTCATTATTTTAGCGTCAACTGCATACATTATATCAATGTGAATACCCATTCGGTTTTTTATTCTAACACTGGGTACTTTATCGATTAATGTAAGACCGCAACCGTGTCTTTAATTGTTCATTTCTATTCACTTTAATTTTTGCCTTTCCCTCTGACATAAAATAGTCCAAACTTCTGAACCATATATACGTACGCTTTCCAGCAGCGATTTATATGTTCTTATCTTGGTCTGACTAGCAGCATTAATTAACCTTCCGAGAGCCCACGAGCAGTCTGCCGCTGCGATCCTTCAGCTTTGTTACGCGTCACGGCGTTTCGCCGCCCGCGCCGGGGTGGGCGTGGCGGCGCGGCGCGGCTGCAAGCTCGCAAGGCACGCCGCGCGCCGGCTGCGTGGGCGGAGGGGCGCTGCGCGTGCCGGAGGCGCTCCGAACAATAGGAGCAGCGTGGCGCGCACGCCCGCAGTCTATTGTCCGCCGCAATTCGATCTATCGAAGCGGCGCGCGCGGTCTTCGCCGGGCTCCTCGCCCTGCGGCGCGGCGGGGGTTCCCAGGCAGCGACGACGACGACGCGCCGCCAGCGCCCCTGACGGACGCCCGGCGGACTTCCACGCCGCGCGCGGTCTATTTCCGGACGTGCCTGGGTTTCATTGTTCGCGCCGCTATTGTTGTCACTGCCGAGGCGCTGTCGTGCGGCGCGGGACGGGCTGGATACACTTCAAGTCGGGCGACGTGGCCCCTCTGCTGCCGCTTGCTTCAGCGGGATTCCGGGGACAGGGCGGGGTCGGGAGAGAGGAAATTAGAAATATCCACCAGTCAAAGAAAAGTGCCGGTAGAGAAAAATTTCAAAATTTTGTTAGCAGTTACTTCTTAAGTAATATTTTGTTGTAAATATAAGAGTAATTGGAATAAATTGATATGGTGTTGCATAAACCATCAAATACTTGCAATCCAATGTTCCGTTAAATATTAATGATTAAAATTAGATTTTAGACTAAAATATTTTTTGTTAAATAGGACAATTTGTAAAAAGCCCCAAATTAGTCAACCATGGAATCAATGGAATTTTAGGTCAATTAAAAAATCTTGCGCTATAATTTGGGGCTAATTTTGGTCTAAATAAACACGCTAAACGTTTTCTCTGGTACCATCATAACACCAAAAATAATTTTTCAAAAACAGGGTAAATTCGGCTCACACACTTACTCAAAATCCAAAACAACATTCACCATAATTATGTTCTCATTAGAGGCATCGAAATAAATTCTTACGTCCTCCTCAAAGAAAGATTTTAAAAATGCGCTGAGAATGCTAGCGAGTCCACATACGCAAAATATTAAACTTTTTTTTCCCGATACTGCTTACGTAGAATAGAGAAAGTATTGTAATGCTGAATGAAAAAACCGGGAAGTTTTTACGGAAAAACTCTTATTGCCGAGCCCAGGCAACAAAACATCCGATAAATCTTTTCCATATTCGTATGTAATAAATTACTACCTCTAGCACGTTGTGTAGTCAGAATCCATGGTTTAGGGTCCTCAATGCCAAAAAATCGATTGGCGACAAAATTGTCTGTCAATGATCATTAAAGACCGAATTTTCTTGCAGTAAACCACTCTAAAACGTGCAATAAAAATACCCAAATGTGCAAAACGAGCACTAAAATATCAAAACTTTGCAAAATGTTGCAAGATATTTGCAAGATGTTATGTGGCCGACAAATTCCAGATAATCCACTTATAAACAAGTTTTACATTTTGGATTAGAATTGAAGGTGAATAAAATATGACTTTTGGAGTTTTTATTACAATATAATTCAGTTTGTACACGTTATTGAAACAAATAAAATTTTATAATTTAAATATTATTCACACAGAAAATTAAATTAGCATACAAATTTAAAAAGTTAATACAAGAACTGCTTGGCAATGTCGCGATCATGCTATATTAAGCGGTACGATAGAGAAAGACGCAAAATGCTGTGAGATGATTTATAAATTTTTCTATTGCACATGTGTTTCTGCCAAGATAGCGCGAAAACTACTAAATTATAAAGAAAATGTGAATGAAAGAACAAATTACGAAGAACACATTTTATTTGAAGTAAGAAAGCTCTATTTTGTAATTGTAGGAAGTCATTTTTGAAATTTGGAAAAATTTCAACATAAATAAGATCTTCACTATTCCTTAAGCGCTTTTTATGCTCTCAGAGAACAAAATTTTGTCAGAAAATTTGGAGGTAGTGCATTAAAACTTTTCATGTTGAGGCATTACTAAAGAACCCGCCGAAGTTAAAACATCTGTTTTATCGATTGGGAAATATCAGTTGTGATGAAAGTTCTACTTACGATTTTTCATTGATCATTAAATTCCAGATTCTGGTTTTATTACATTTTTTTCGTTGTTACCTTGAAATTGGACGAAAACTTCACTAAAATTTGAATCATAAAACGGCGTTATTTTATGATTTGTTTTATTTTGCACGAAATAGCACGTTTGGGGTTTACTGCACGAAGTTGCACGTTTTGGGTGATGCTATAAAAATATTGAAATTTTTGGGTTTTACTGGAAGAATTTGCAAGATTCATAGTTTTATTGCATACAGTATATTTCTTTTATCATCACCTTTTTAATTTACCTTTTTTAAATGTTTAATTTAAGAAAAAAGTATGAC